CTCCTTTAAATATCTTCCTTCCTCTTCTCTTCTTTTCCTTTTCCTTTTTGCTCATACTTCCCTTTTTAAGTCTCATTTTTTTCCTTTTCTATCTTCCTTAGGGTCCTTCCTGACTTCTCTGGACTCTCTTTACCTTCCATATCCATGATTTCTAAAGTTTTGTCCAAATTACACTGGCAGACCATAAGGGAGTTATAGAAACTTCCAAAGACTTTCATTTCAAATTATAGTTAAGGGTTACCTGGTCGTAACCTACTAGGTGAGTTATATCGATTGCAAAGATGAAATGGAAATGAATATATTAATTAGTTTTTATTAGGCTGTACTGTGTGAGTCAACGAACCCCAAATTTCAGTGATTTAAAATATTATTTCTTGCTTCCCATTCATGTTGGCTATAGATTATCTGTGACTGTTCTCAGGATGTCTATCCGTCTGGGATATAGATAGGAGGAGCAACTTCTACTGGGACATTGTTGTTTTCATACCAGATGGACAACAGCGATGCCAGATCTGAATGATGGCTTGTAAAGCGTCTGTTGAGAAGTGCCATCCGCTACTTGTGTTCGCATTTCACTGGCCAAAGCAAATCTCACAGGGAATTTTGGTGTGTCTGGGAGAGAAGCCCTTCTGCCACGTCTGTCTCGGATTTCTGCTGTGTTCCTTCCACCTTTACGTCCTCTCCTACACATATCAGTCTCGCATAATCAGGTTATTTCTAAGACTCGGGATTGTTGTGTAAGTGGGGAAGACACTGGGCAATACACTATACTTTCACTGATGCATAAACCAAGCTAAGAACAGAACATAGCTATCTTTAATTCTCAAATGTCCATGTCCACGTATTATGTACTGGAAAGCCTGATGAGGAAAGTGAATTAACGATAAATGGACTTAGATAGAAGTTTATAAAATTGTAGCCGTGGCTTTAAGAGACCTGGACTCTAGTTTCTCTGCTGATAATAAGTAGCCTGGGCAGATCAATTTTCTAGGCCCAAATTTCCTCATTTGTGAGGTCAGAGTATTGAGTTAAAATTATGTAGTTTATTATGAAACAGTAGAAACAGAAGGAATGTGTACGTGTGTAGAGTGTGGGGATGTGAACAGTGAGAAGATCATCTTGTTAGAGGTGAGGGATCTGCTGGGATTATGAGATATAAAGCCAAGTGTGGATCACATTATAAAAGATCTTCAATGTTGAATACCAAGCTGAAGAATCTAAGGGGACAACTAGAGAGTTCAATATACTGTTTAAAATAGATTCATTTGGTGGAAGTGCCAGAATAGATTACAAGGGGAAAACTGTAGACATGGAGACCACTCAAGGTAATTTAGAAATCGAAGTCTGGGGAGGGCTGAGGAGATGATAATTTTTACCATAGTCTTAACTTATATGACAGGAAAGGAAGGAGAGGAAATGTGAGAAAGGAGGCCTGTAGACTGTAGCCCTGCAGCCAAAACCAGTCCATTGCTTATATTTGTAAATAAAGTGTTCTTTGCACACAGCCTTGCCCATTCATTTATGTATAATCTGTGGCTGCTTTCCAAGTACAAATGCAGGGTTAAATAATTTTGACAGGGATGTTAGGGTCCATAAAGTGAAAAAAAATTACTAACTATAGAAAAGAATTGTCCATCCTTTTATTAGAAGCAGCGATGGTTTAAAGAGTGTGGATGATGAATCACTTAGGGGCAAGTAAGAGACAAATAAAAAAAAGAAAAGTAGGAATCATTTTTATTAGCTTGTTTGTATGCACATAATGTTTGTAAAGTATTTGGCAAGTTGGGGCCGGTGCTGTTGCTCACTTGGTTAATCCTCCACCTGCGGCGCCAGCATCCCGTATGGGCATCGGTTCTAGTCCTGGTTGCTCCTCTTCCAATCCAGCTCTCTGCTGTGGCCCGGGAAGGAAGTGGAGGATGGCCCAGATGCTTAGGCCCCTGCGCCTGCATGATGGGAGACCAGGAAGAAGCACCTGGCTCCTGGCTTCGGATGGGTGCAGCACCGGCCATAGCGGCCATTTGGGGAGTGAACCAACAAAAGGAAGACCTTTCTCTCTGTCTCTCTGTCTATAACTCTACCTGTCAAATAAATAAAAAAAAATTTTTGGCAAGATAAGTGTAATTGAAGTTTTTACATACGTGTGTGTGTGTGTGTGTGTTTATTTATTGGGGGGTGGCTGATGCTGTAACATAGTGGGTTAAACAACCACCTGTGATGCTGGTATTCCATATTAGTACTAATTTATGTCATAGCTGCTCCAATTATGATCCATATCTCTGCTAATACACCTGGAAAGCAGTGGAAGATGGCCCAAGTACTTGGACGCCTGCACCCATGAAGGAGACTCAGATGAAGTTCCTGGCCTTTGGTTTTGCCTTGGCCCAGCCCTGGCCATTGTGGCCATCTCGGGGAGTGAACCAGTAATTGGTAGATCTCTCTGTATATTTCTCTCACTCTTTCTATGAAACTCTGCCTTTTAAATAAGTACATTAATCTTTAAAAAATATGTGTGTCTTTTTTCTAGGCTGAATTGAAAAACAAATTTTCAAATCATACAGATAATAATGTAAACTTTCTTTCAATGACTTACATGAATTTTATGTAGAAATTATAGAAATCATAGATTTATTATCATTGTTGAGGTATAGACTGGGACAATCACCATATTTTCACCTGAGATAGAAATAGGATTTGCTGTCAGCAAATGGAGACTTGTGGAGATGGATTGCCACTGTCTGTAGACATTATAGTGAGCTGGAGATACTATGCAGCAGATAATTTGGAATTCCTGTGTACCTCAAGTTAAATAGGAAAGGCAGAGCAAGAAAGAACAATTAAAACTTGCAATGCAGAAAACACCTAATTTTAAAAAAGAAAGCACTCTAATAAGACAGTGCGTTAGGTACCTACTTTACATTGCACATTACTGTCCATTCTTACCTCATTCAATTCTCAATATTGTAAAGTCAATGTTCTTCACTCAGGGATTAGGTTTTTATTACCTATTCAAAGTTTCCCAGTCAGTAAGTGAGAGAGCCAGGATTTACTTAAGATTTCAAAGTCCATAGTCTAGTCAAAATCATTCTTAATTCTTTTTTTTAAAACTTCTATTTAATACATATAAATTTCCATCGTACAGCTTATGGATTACAATGGCTTTTCCCCCCATTACTTCCCTCCCACCCACACCCCTCCCATCTCCTGCTCCTTTTCCCATTCCATTCACATCAAGATTCATTTTCAATTATCTTTATATACAGAAGATTAATTTAGTATAAATTAAGTAAAGATTTCAATAGCTTGCACCCACACCGAAACACAAAGTGTAAAATACTGTTTGAGTACTACTTATAGTGTTAATTCACACTGTGCAACACATTAAGGACAGAGATCCTACATGAGGAGTAAGTGCACAGTGACTCCTATTATTGACTTAGCAAATTGACACTCTTGTTTATGGCATCAGTAATCACCCTAGGCTCTTGTCATGAGTTGCCAAGGCTATGGAAGCCTTTTGAGTTTGCCAACTCCAATCTAATTTAGACAAGGGCATAGTCAAAGTGGAAGTTCTCTCCTCCCTTTAGAGAAAGGTACCTCCTTCTTTGATGGCCCGTTCTTTCCACTGGGATCTCACTCGCAGAGATCTTTCATTTCTCAGTAGTCCAAATTATCAATTTCAGTTCACAATTGATCATAATGATAGGACTAAGAGTCAAAGAGATCACCTAAACAAGACTAGTATCTGCTAATATCTGATAGAATTAAGAAGGAGAGAATGATCCAACATGGGAAACGGGATACACACAGCAGACTCATAGAATGGCAGATGTCCTAAACAGCACTCAGGCCCCAGAATCAGCCCTTAAGGCATTCGGATCTGGCTGAAGAGCCATGAGAGTATTTTAGGCATGGAAAGCCAAGATACTCTGGCAAAAAAAAAAAATCATTCTTACTTCTAAGTGGGCATAATTTCAACAATTTACAGAATCATGAATAAAATAGATTCTTGCCCTTCAACTTCTTTGGTTACTCTAATTGTGTGTGTGTGTGTGTGTATTAGTATGAGTATTTATGTCAGAACCTAGTTTATTAAATAGAATATAAACACATAAAATAGAGAAGAGTCAAAGAATGGTTAGGTTATGATTTTTAATTTACAAACTGTGGATTAAAGCGTCATGTTACTGTTTCTGAGTCCTCAGTATATCTTACTAATAATACATAAGTAGAGTTCATATGTCTGTCTTGTATACATATGTATTAATTAGAAATCTAGACCTTTAAAATTCCAGGGTATATGTTTCTAACAGCTTGCTGTTTTCAGAAAAATTATGTGATTTATTTTGACACTGATATGTATTTAAAATATTACCTGCAATGTACCATTGAATTATGGATATTTTGTAAAATTATATGAAATTTAAAAAATTTCAGTGCACCATTGAATTATGGATATTTTGTAAAATTATATGAAAATTGAAAGAATATTTTAAAATATATTGGAAAGAAGAAAACAGGTCCATTTTAAATATCAAAAAATGTTCATGATTTAAATGTATATATTGAAATTTTAATTAATCTCATAATATAGTAAAATATTCTACAAAAGAAGGTAATGTAGTATAGTGATATTTTACATATTTCTGTATTGGATTATTTAGTCTTGAGAAAGTCTCATTTTGTTTAGCAGTTTTAAAGTCCTTTGCAAACTAGTGAGATTTAGATGTTTCTTTATACCAGTGATATTTTTCATTCTGCAATTGTAAATGGCTTCCTATTCTACATTACTGAAGTGAAAAAATTAGACATTTTCCTATAAATAAAATTTTGTTGCTGGAGGAATGTATATCTTTTATTCTCTTTACATAAGGATAGATCTGTACTGCAATTCTTGTATTGAAGTCATTTTCCCCCCCATCAAACTAGGTACTCAAAAATCTAATAGGTGTGACATCAACAATTACTTCTTGCTAACAAGTCTTGTAATTTAACCCCTTCAGGTGAGCAAGCTGATTGATGAATTGCAGACAGCTATCAAAAGCAACAGAGGTCATCTCTCGAAACTTGGCCCCCAATTACAGGCTGAGCAGGAGCAATTCTCCTCTTATGTCTACCAACACATTAAAAGCCTTCCAGCAAACACACTGTTCCCAAGAGGCCTGAAACTCAAGGTGGGTATCATTCTGCCACTCTCATTGGATTTAGCTAAAGATGAAAACACTGCTCCATTTGGAGACCCTGTAATACCTACCACCCAGCTTGAATTTCTTTTTGGGCTATCTTCTGCAAACTGGGATTTAGCTTATGATTGGAAATATTAGTATCCAAAAAATAGGTTCTAAAAGAAATATTTAGAGGCCTTCATGTGGTTTATAAATTTAACTAGCATTCAACCCAGACAAATAATTTTAATGAAGAAATTTAACCAAATGAACATTTGTGTACTTTTCAAGAAACATCTTTTTCACAAAAGTCACTGTGTATTTCAGTTTTTAAAAATAACTTATCTGGAGAAATAGGCAAGGTTTAATAGTTGACAGACAGTGGCAATAGGATTTTGAGGTGAAAGGCCAGGTGACTGATTGATGTTCAAACTACATTTCCAAAGAAAAGGATCTGTATTGGCTAAGTGTGACATATGTCTGAGTTCACTTGGTAAAATCAATACTTAAGAATATCCTGGGAGAAAAGGTGAATTGGTTATTTGTCAGGACAAGATGGCTAAATGCCCTAGACTAACCTGATATTGTATCTTTAAAAGAGAAAAATAATAGCTCATACTTGGGCTAAAGTATGGGTATTTACACACTTAGAGAATTTACATACTTTTGTTTTTCATAATAGAGTATCCATGTTAAATATGCCAAGTTAAAGTCCTTCTATAATTTCATATCCCTCATTTCAATAGATTATGATTTGTAAAATTTAAATCACTTACTCAAAGTATGGCCCCCTTTCCCTCCAAGAAACTACTGTTAGTATAACTCTTCATTTCCTTATGATTATGGTTGTAGGGATAACATTCAAAGCTGAGTGTATTTTGATCAGCCTTGATCTCCTTAATTTCTCTTTCATAATGTTCAGTGTTATTGTAAAAGTAACATTACATTTTCTATCCTTTGCTTACTTTAATTTTATTCCCATGTGTACTTTTTTTTTTTTTTTTGACAGGCAGAGTGGATAGTGAGAGAGAGAGACAGAGAGAAAGGTCTTCCTTTTTGCCGTTGGTTCACCCTCCAATGGCCGCCACGGCTGGCGCACTGTGTCCCATGTGTACATTTTTTTAAAGAAGGATTTTATTTAATGAATACAGATTTCATAGGTACAGCTTTAGGAATATAGTTGTTCTTATCCCCCTACCCACCCTTCTACCCCCACACCCATCCCACCTTCTACTCCCTTTCCCATCCCATTGTTCATTAAGATTCATTTAAATTAACTTTATATTCAGAAGACCAACTCTACTAAATAAAGATTTCAACAATTTGCACACACACACGCACACAGTATAATGTACTGTTTGAGAATAAATTTTACAGTTAATTCCCATAGTACAATGCATTAAGGACAGAGGTCCTACGTGGGGAGCAAGTGCACAGTGATTCCTATTGTTAATTTAACAATTAACACCCTTATGTATGATGTCAGTGATCACCTGAGGCTCTTGACATCAGTTGCCAAGGCTATGAAAGCCTTTTGAGTCCACATACTCTGTCAATATTTAAACAGGGCCATCAGCAAAGTGGAAGTTCTCTCCTCCCTTCAGAGAAAAGTACATCCTTCTTCGATGGCCCCTTCTTTCCACTGAGGTCTCACACACAGAGATCCTTCATGTAGAACACTTTTTTTTTTTGCCATGGTGTCTTGGCTTTCCATTCCTGAAATGCACTCATGGGATTTTTCAGCCAGATCCTTTTGAGCCCTAAGGGTGGATTCTGAGGTCAGAGTGCTGTTTAGGGCATTTGTCATTCTATGAGTCTGCTGTGTAGACTGCTTCCCATGTTGAATCTTTCTCTCCTTATTATTCTATTGTTCTTACCAGACACTTGGTCTTATTTATATGATCCCTTTGAAACTTAATCCTATCTATATGATCACATTTAATATGATAACTTTAACATGTAAGATGGTATTAGTACCATCCAGCTTAATGGCATTTGGAATCCCATGGCAATGGGTAAGTCCATGGGAATGTGTACTGTAAAGCTCTTCCCTCTCTTTTTCTCACTTTTATTTTTTTTTTTTTGCTGGGATCTATTTTCAATTGGCCTAATACATCTGTGATTCCCAGCTCCATTTGTTGAAGAGACTGGTCTTGTGCCAGGGAATGGTTTTAGGTCCTTGATCAAATATAAGTTGATTGTAGATGCTTGGATTGATTTTTGTGTTTCTATTCTGTTCCATTGATCTATCCATCTGTTTTTGTACCAGTACCAGGCTGTTGTGATTATAAGTACCTGCAGTATATATGGAAATCTGATATTGTGATGCCTCCAGCTTTGCTTTTGTTGTATAAGATTGCTTTAGCTATCCAGGGATAATGTGCCTCCATATGAATTCCTGCATCACTTTTTCGAGATCTGAGAAGAATGTCATTGATATTTTGATTGGTATTACATTGAATCTGTAAATTATTTTCAGAAAAATGGACATTTTGATGATATTCTTCTAATCCATGAACATGGAAGTTTTTTCCATTTTGTGTGTGTGTGTCTTCTTCTATTTCTTTCTTTATATTTTGTAATTCTCGTTGTAGAGATCTTTGACATCCTTGGTTAAATTTATTCCAAGGTATTAGATTTTTTGTAGCTATTGTGAATATGATTGATCTTAGAAGTTCTCTTTCAGCCATGACATTTTCTGTGTATGCAAAGGCTGTTGTTATTTGTGTGTTGATTTTAAATCCTGGTATTTTACCAAACTCTTCTTTGAGTTCTAGTAGTTGCTTAGTGGAGTCTTTTGGGTACCCTAAATATAGAATCATATCATCTGCAAATAGGGATAGTTTGACTTCATCTTTACTGATTTGAATCCCTTTGATTTTTTTTTTCCTGATGGCTCTGACTAAAACTTCCAAGACTATACTGAATAGCAATTGTGAGAGTGGGCATCCTTTTCTGGTTCTGAATCTCAGTGGGAATGCTTCCAACTTTTCCCCATTCAATAGGACACTGGCCGTGGGTTTGTCATAAATTACCTTGATTGTGTTGAGGAATGTTCCTTCTAAACACAATTTGCTTTTATTTTTCAATATGATAGGGTGTTGTATTTTCTCAAATGCTTTCTCTGCATATACTGAGATAATCATATGGTTTTTATTCAGCAGTTTGTTAATGTGATGTATCACATTGATATGTGAATGTTGAACTACCCCTGCATACCAGGGATAAATCTCACTTTGTCCAGGTGAATGATCTTCCTGATGTGTTATTGGATTCGATTGGCCAGAATTTTGTTGAGGATTTTTGCATCCATATTCATCAGGGAAATTGGTCTGTAATTCTCTTTCTCTGTGCATCTTTTATGGTTTAGGAATTAGGATGATGCTGGCTTCATAGAAAGAATTTAGGAGGTTTCCCTTCCTTTCAATTGTTTTGAATAACTTGAGAATTGGACTTAATTGTTCTTTAAATGTCTGGTAGAATTCAGCAGTGAATCCATCTGGTCCTGGGCTTTTCTTTGTTGGGAGGGCCTTTATTACAGATTCAATTTCTGTCATGGTTATGGGTCTGTTTAGAGTTTCTTTGTCTTCATGACTCAATTTAGGTACGTTATGTGTGTCTAGGAACCTATCCATTTCTTACAGGTTTCCCAGTTTGTTGGCATACACCCCTTTATAGTAATTTCTGATGATTCTTTTTATTTCTGTGGTGTCTGTTGTTGCATTTCCTTTTTCATCTCTAATTTTATTGATTTGGGTCTTCTCTCTCATTTTTTGGTTAGATGGGCCAAAGGTGTGTCAATTTTGTTTATTTTTTCAAAAAACAAGCTCTTTGTTTTGCTGATCCTTTTTATTGATTTTTTGGATTCAATTTTGTTTATTTCTTCACTAATTTTAATTATTTCCTTCTACTGGTTTTTGGGTTTGATTTGCTTATGTTTTTCTAGATCCTTGAGATGCATAGATAGTTCATTTGTTTTGTGCCTTTCCAGTTTCTTGATGTAGGCACCAATTTCTATAAACTTTTCTCTTAACATTGCTTTTGCTGTATCCCATAAATTTTGTTAAGTTTTATTGTCATCTTCATTTGTTTCCAGAAATTTTTGATTTCTCTTTTGATTTCTTCTATGACCTACTGTTCATAAAGACTCATATTGTTCCTTCTCCATGTGTTTGCATATGCTGTAGGAATTCTTGAGTTGCTGATTTACAGCTTAATTGTATTGTGGTCCCAAAGATGCATCCCATGTATACATTTTGGATGAAAATATCACCATATAAGCATTGACCTTTTTGTCCATGCTGAACATAACTGTTTTCTCAGAGTCTGTGCTAGTCAGCTAAGGGTTTAGGAAGTGCTATGTAAGACATCAAAATCAAAGGTTCCCACAGTTCAATAGCACTGTTTATTCCAGGATTTTAGTTGATTACAGATCCATTTTACCATTCTACAAAGTACTTGCTGTTGATTAAGAGAGAAACGAGACAAAAGAATGGTTGCCTTAATATCATTTATCCCTACTTTTTGCATGAACAACCATTACATGAACTATAGCATGACTTTTGGGAAAAATATTTTTCCTCTTCACAAGTTACAGCTAATCTCTGAATAATTTCTATCATTTATTCACATTAATGCAGGAGTTTGCTAGGAAATATTAACTTTGGAATTTGAATTCTTTATATTACCCATTTAATGTGCTTTAAAAATCTTTCCACATGATCAAACAAAAGAGCAAATGCATATATGCAAATAATCCATGTTGTTGTATGTCTTTAGACTCACTGTGCTGTCCAGTACAGTAGCTCCTAGCTACATGAGAATAATTAAAATTAAAATTTATTAAAATTAGAAATCCAGCATGTCCAGTGGTTTGCCAGAGATTTCCTGATTTTAGCATTGAAAATTCCACATCCAGAAAACTAGGGTAATTGGTTGCCCTGGTTCTGTCTCCATATTTCCCTCTCCCCTTTCCCAGGCATTCTCCTTTTTTGTGGTTCTTTGTCATG